CCCCCTCTCATGCTCTCTCTATCTCATTCTCTCTCTCAAAAAAATAAATAAATCTTTAAAAAAAAAAAAAAAAAGGAAATATGTGTATGTATATATAATTGTCGCCATACAGCAAGACATTGGGAAAACCCTGAATGTCCTTTACACTGGAATTATTTAAATTCATTGTGTTATTCTATACATCCTCTAAAAATATGAAGTAGATTTATATTTGCTGAGGTAGAAAAAAAATGTTCATACTATATTCTTAAGTGAAAAAACAGGTTATATAATAGTTATAGAATAGTAGGTAGAGTAGGACCCTGTTCTTCACGTAAAAGCAAATAGCAGCAAAAATGATGCATATATGACAAAAGTCCAGAAGAAAAAATAATGGTCACAGTGGTTGTATTTTTAAATAGTTGGATTTTAGGTAATTATTATATGTTTTTGTCTTTATTTTTTTACCATCAGTATATACTACTTTCATAATTAAAGACAACAATAAGGCTCTCTGCATTTTGGGGGGAACTGAAGAGTGTAAAGACAATACCTGAGAGTATATCGTTCCGTTGGAGAGTGTGTAGGTGTAACACAGCTTCATCCGTAAACCACCCGGGCCCAGGAGGCACAAAATCTGGTTCTCTAAATACCGGGGAGCTGCTGACCGTCTACTCCGAGTCAGCTGACCTAGCGGGACTGTGGCAGCATATACAGTTTCCAGCTCAGAAACACCCAGCTTTGTAGAATCCTGAGAAAAAGAAGCCACACACAAGAGTACTTAATTGTATGACTCCAGGTACGTGAAATTCTAGAAAGGCCAACCTAATTCCTAATGGTAGAAGGTAGATCAGTGATTGTCTGAGGAGGGTAAGGGATTGACCACAAATGTTCTCTTGGGAACTTTCTGGGCAGATAAAGATGTTCTGTATCTTGACTCTGGTGGCGTGGCATATATGTTTGTCAGAACTCAACAAGCTCTACACTTAACACGGGTCATTTTGTCCCGTATCCATTATATCTCCATGAAGTTGATTTTAAGGAAAGCAGCCCAGTTTGGGCAGAGAAGCTGGAGCTCTTTCCTTGTCCAAGACAGAGAAGCCAAGGGTCCCTGAGAGAACCTAGCCCTGCGACAGTATCACGGCCCAGATTTGCTCTTTAGGGAAACTAAGGAAAACAAAGTTAAATTGTAAAACAGACTTACTGAGTTGAAATCTAAGAACAATGAAGCCAATTACGTTTCTCTAATCCAGTAAGCCTTGTGGGTTTAATTAATCTTTCCTGTTTCCAATATACATGAACACAGTTAACATTTGGATGTATAACTTCCATACTTCATTGTATTTTTTTAAGCTCTATGTTCTTTCTTTCAAACTTGGAGAAGTTTCCTCTTTCAAACTGAAGCAAGCCACAAAACATATCTAAAGAGGAGATCACTCTTTCTTAGTCTCTTTGGCAGGGAAGGGCTGGGGCAGAGAATGTTCTCTCCTTCCATATAGGATGCCTTTTTCTGGTTGGGAGCTGGCCTGATTTCTCCCACCGTCTTCCTGCACCCCAGCAGGGGCAGGCTCTCTGGAGAGTTACTCTTTTTAGCTCCGAGTACCTCCGACAGCATTTCCAGAGCCCATCTCATGCCCCTCACATAGCTGGGGCAGCTCGGGCCTCCCGGGGCGGAATACAGAGCCTGCGGTGGTGTGAGCTACCACGGGGAAGAGGAGCACCGAGGCGGAAGTCTCCGAGGACAAAAGAGCAGCTCTCAAAATGGTAACACACCCTTCTTTTGCAGCCTGCTGCCAGATGCTGGAGGTGCTGCTGAACTTGTTGATCCTGGCCTGCAGCTCTGTGTCTTACAGTTCCACAGGGGGATACACGGGCATCACCAGCCTGGGGGGCATTTACTACTACCAGTTCGGAGGCTCTTTCAGTGGTTTCGAGGGCGCCGATGGGGAGAAAGCACAGCAGCTGGACGTCCAGTTCTACCAGCTGAAGCTGCCCACAGTCACTGTGGCGATGGCCTACAGCGGAGCCCTCATGGCCTTCTGCTGCCTCCTTGTCGTCCTGGGCGTCCTGCGGGTCCCGTGGCACTGCCCCCCATGGCTGCTGATTGAAGCCTTGTTGGACGCGCTCATCGCGGGGGCCTACGTCCCCGCTCTCTACTTCTACTTCCGCCACCTCTCGGCTGCCTATGCGTCCCCGGTGTGCAGAGAGAGGGAGGCGCTGTACCAGAGCAAAGGGTACAGCGGCTTCAGCTGCAGTTTCCACGGGGGAGATATAGGAGCTGCCATCTTTGCTGCCCTGAGCATCGGGCTCTTTGCCCTGGGGGCTGTGCTGGCCATCCGGGGTTACCGGAAGGTCAGGAAGCTCAAAGAGAAGCCTGCAGAGATGTTGGAGTTTTAGGCTTTTTAAGCCGTCCTGCCATATGTGAGCAGTGGAAGTTACTCTGAACCACTGTCTTTCACGGAATACTTTGCCGTGGGCCAACGTCGGTATCCTGGGGGGAGCTCTGGGTTACACCGAGCGGCGTTCTCTGAGGTAATGAGTTCTCGAGTCCTTTGTTGGTGAGCGAGGAGCCAAAATTATTGAAACAGAACAAAACTGGAGGTCAGGACCCACGAGGAGAAGGCACGAGTTGCAGCAATGCACTTTCTTGCACTTTCGATTAGCTCAAGGGAATTAACCAAGTGAGTCTGAAGATCCTTATCTTCAAAGTCCTCGGAAAGCCATATACACTGGAGACAACATTTCGGCTTGAGCTTTTCTAAACACAACTGTCTTAAGCAGATGAGCCCCAAAGTTTTTCCACACTGAGGTCTCGGGTCCTTCACTTCCTTAATGCTCTGGATGCAGGGTGTAGAGACACCGGGGAGACTCCGCCTGTAAGTTGGAGGTAGGCGTGGGCCAAGCAAAGAGGAATCAGATTCATTCACTGGGTTGCAAAGAAGCTATTCTAACAAGACCCCCACAGTGACCTTGAAAACTCAATAAGTGTTTTGTACCTCTTGTAAAGGTACCATTGTATGATGAATTAAACCCAACATCTGGAATTCAGGATCCATCCAGAATAAAAGAATGTAAAATCTTTCCCAATGGAAGAATGCTACTTTTGGCCAGACAACTTCATGGGTTCTTACTGCATGTTAAATTATGACTCCTGGAATATTACAATATATTCTTGATACAAGTGAATATGTTCTTTGCTTTACATGAATCCAGTAAAAGTCCAAAGAAAAATTTTAACTTGGAGGTGATGCTTCTCTTTACAACATATTTTTAACAGGATTCCCTTAAGTACAGGCAATTTGTCACATTTAAAAGGTGAGTTCCATTTGGGTTTAGAAAACGAAATAAATGCTTGGCTATGATTAGACGATTTCTTAAAGAATACATAAGAAAGCATGAAGAGTATTTGCTTCCAGAGAGGAGATTTTATTTTCCATTTTAGCATAACTTGACTGCACATCTCAGTTTTTTTTTAGATAAATAAAAAAAATTTATTTTCTCCCCTCTTTGTTCACATTTACAGTGCAAAGGCAGAAGTAGATGTATAATTAAGCGGAGTATTACATGATCAGCCACAAAACCAGCCTCACCCAGAAAGACCCCATTTATAACAAAAATCCCATGTCTGTTTTGGTCTCCACTTCCCTCTCCAGAGCCCTCTGCTCTCTTTCCGGAGACTTGTCCCATCCCACTGTCGAGATAAACTGCTAGCTCTGCCAGTCACCCTTGTTGTCTTCTGAGGGCTGTGAATCTTTCTGCACTAACAGCAAGGTTAGAAACACATGAGCCTGGGAGCGCCTGGGTGGCTCAGTCGGTTAAGTGTCTGCCTTCAGCTCAGGTCATGATCTCAGGGTCCTGGGATCGAGTCCCTGCTCAACGGGGAGTCTGCCTTTCCCTTTGCCCCTCCCCCTGCTTGTGTGTGCTCTCTCTCTCAAAATCTTAAAAAAAAAAAAAAAAAAGGAAATACGTGAGCCTGTTTGATATTAATAGCTAAGCCAGGCCAGGCCTGGCTGGTACTGTGATGATATTCAGTGGCCATATTCCTTCTGCAGACCCAATAGCACTGGACCCGGCAACAGACCATTATTGCTCTCCACTGTCATAGCCAGGGGGTAGTTGACAAGATCTAGATTTATTTCATTTCAGCCTGGCAGATACATGCATGGATCACGACTCCACTGTCCCAGAAGGAAGCATTCAGCTTCCCCCATCTTATAGCAGGGCAGTGTTCCTGTGTCCCTTCGGTGGGTGAGATGTTAACGTGCGTGCGGAAGGAAAACCAAGGCAGAGAAGAGTATTGGATGTGGGGTAAAACTGCTGCCCCTGAATTAGAGTGATGTTTGGGCCAATTCACTTGCACTGCTACAGGGGGCAAGTGGCCAGTCCCTTACAGCGCCTGGGTGGAGAGTGGGCAGTTCTGATCTGATGCTATTTTCAGATTTAAATTAGAGGAATGTAGTTCGTCAACTGTCAGAGCCTTTGGCTGCTGTGTCCCATGGACCTCCTAGGAATTTGTGTGGGCCCAGCAGGAGTTAGGACCAGCAAGCCCAGGAGCTGGTGCCTCAGTCTGTCAGAGAGACTGGTATTTCGCCGCCCCGTTTTTAAACGTTGTGGTACTCCCTAGTGTATTAGCAAGGCTTCCCGATTTCTGGGAATCCACACTTCTCATAATTTGTCCCATTTCTTAAATCTCTCACTAAGCCCCTTCCATTGTCTAAACGTTACTGAGTAGCATCACCATCTGCTTGCATTAACATTTTATGATTTTTGAAATCCTTAGATGTACTTGCTTTCATCGGGGCCCTGTGGAGTAAGGCAGGCCCTACCTTCCTTTGTCAGATGAAGTGTGTGAGGCTTCGTGTCAGTGACTGGGGCAAAATCACCGGCAGCGAAGTGTGGGGACATGAGCCTGGCGTTCCCACTCTAGGTTCATATGCTTTTCTCTTAGTTCTCTGAACCCTGGAGCATGATAGGAGACATTCTTCCAGAAGTATGCCTAAGCAGAGGCCAGGGCCTCTGTCAGTGATGAACGAAAGCTGACCTTGGACAAGAAGATAGTCAGTGTCCAGTCACCTCTTGGTTCCTAAAACTCACCAGAAACCCCCAAGTGAACAGCCCACGTGTCTGTCAGCTGAATAGATTGGTCCATCCACACAGTGGCGCCGGAGCCCATGTAACGAAGTCTGTGGACACTGTGGGAGCGGATCTGAAAACACCTCCAGGAATAGTAAATGAACAAGACTCAGAGCAGCATGTGTGGTATGCTTCCTGGTGAAAAAAAAAAAGTGCAGGGAAGGGGGATGAAATGCAGATTTGAGGCTGCTTTTATTTGCATGAAGGAACACTGGAAAGTTATATTAGGAAATAATGAAAGTGGATGGGGGCAGAGCACAGGACGGACAGGGACAGGAGTGATTTTTCTCAGTGTATTCCTTTTTAGGTCATTTTATAGTTTCAAAAAAAACTTTAAAATTTGAAATAATTATAGATCCACGAAATGGTAACAAAACCAGGGTGGAGATCTCGTGCGCCCTCCATCCCATTTTCCCCAGTGCTCTCGGTGCTCCCATCTTGCGTAACCAGAGCACGGCACGGCGCGGTCAGCTCACCAGCTCTACTGCACTCACGTCCGGGTGCGTGCACACACTTCCGTGCCGTTCGGTCACGTGTACGTTCACATCCCCACCACCACGATCAACTACAGAACTCTTCCATGCTCCGGCGTCACTAGGGCTCCCGCACGTCTCCCCATCCACCGACAGCCATGGGTCCTGGCTCACTGTCCGTAATTGTGTCATTTTGAGACTGTTACATAAATGGAATCACACAGTGTATAACCTTTGAGCCTGGCTTTTTTCTGCTTATCGTAATTCCCCTGAGAGCCATCGAAGCAGTCGCGTGTCTCCGCCGCACCTTCCCTTTGACCAATGAGTCGAGTTTCCCGTGGTATAGATGTACCTGACTGCTAACCCCTCCTCGCCTGTGGAAGGATATCTGGGCTTCTTTTTTTTTAAGATTTATTTATTTATTTATTTATAAATGTATTTATAAATTTGTTTATAAATTATATCTGTATACCATTGTACTAACACGTTACTTATATTATAAATCACGTACAGAGAAAGAAATTCCCAAAAAGGTAACATTTACACATTAAAGCTCTAATATGTCCTTCCTATCCTGCAGTGGAGGTTGAATGCCCTTGCTTGGAGCCCACAGACCCGTAGCAATAAGCCCAAGTCCATATGGCTGACTTTCAAGGCTGGTCATGATCTGGTCCCTGCCCCTCTCTTCCCTTTACTTCTTCCCTGTTCCTAGTGCTTGTCCAAGTGGAAGGATTGGAATCTGAAGCTCCCCAAGCCTGCCTGCTTTCTATTTGCTGCCCCCTCCCACCTTTGTTTAGAAGGCTACCCCTTGTCTTTGCTCCCCAAGCCGCAAACCCCTTTGTCTTATTTATTCCTAAAAGCACTCCTTCCTCTGGGAAGCTGTGTTTTGGAGGCTTCTGCCACCCTCCATACCCCATGTACACCCACGCACAGCTTTTCCTTTGCAATATCATACAGTATTTCCCTCTCTGCCTCTTAGAGCTGTGAGCTTTCAAAGACAGTCCCAGGGGCGCCTGAGTGACTCAGTCAGTTAAGGGACAGACTCTTGATTTCAGTTCAGGTCATGATCTCAGGGTCGTGAGATTGAGCCCTATGCAGGGCTCCATGCTCAGTGGGGAGTCTGCTTGAGATTCTTTCCCTCTGCCCCTCTCCCTGCTCGTGTGCACACGTGTGCATGCATGCATGCTCTCTCTCTCTCTC